AAAAAAAAAAAAAAAAAAAAAAAAAAAAAAAAAAAAAAAAGGACTTGACTGAATGCAGCCCCTTAAAAGTTAAGATTGCTAGGATTTAAGATTGATCCCATTTCCTTGAATCTGCTGGTTGTTGCTAAAATTGCTCTCTGGTTAACAATTATGCTCCAATTTACTTTGGGATCTGATCCTGACTGCCTTTTGACTGGGGAAAGAGAAGGTACACCTGTTGTAGAAAATAACTTAATACTTTGCAAGGCCAGAGGCTGTTTTCATTAATTTTTCTTTATTGTTTCTATCCTGGATTTAATCCTTGCTGAAATTTATTCCACCTTTCTATCTTTACCCATGGTGTTCATATCATTATTTATCCATTTCCCTTTTGTATTATTTCTTATCTATTGATTACAAATGTGTGGTTAGCTGGGCAAGATGGCTCAGAGAATAAAAGCCCTTGCCTCATAGCATGATGTTCTGCCTTGTTTCATGAAGTAGAAGTTTCTGGTTGCTTTGGAGACTCAGTTGTGTCCTGTGATGTTTTGCTAGAAGCTGTCTTGTGAGAGGGCACGCGATATTTTGCTGAGAGCTGTCTCATGAGACGGCATGACTTTGGCCAGCTGAAAACATCTGTGGGTAGACTCTGAGGAGAGAAGATATATAAACACACAGATAGTGAGACAACACTTTCTGGATCTATGTTGCTTTGCTGGTCTTTGTTCTCCAACCCTTCACTTCTCAGAGCGGAAAACTCTAACCCTACAGTTTCATGTCAACATGATACTAAAATCATCTGAGAATCATTTTCTCAATGAGAAAATGCTTTCATAAGGTCATAATATTGGGCTGTGGGCAAGCCTGGAAGGCACTTTCTTAACTAGTGATTGATGAGGGAAGGCCCACCCCACTGTGGGTGACCACCCCTGGGCCTGTGGTCTAAGGTGCTATAAGAAAGCAGGCTGAGCAAGGTGTGAGGAGCAAGCCAGCAAGAACACCCCTCCATGGCCTCTGCCTCAGCTCCTGCCTCCAGGTTCCTGCCCTGTTGGAGTTTCTGCCTTGGCTTCCCAGGATGAACTGTGACTGGGGTTCCATAAGCCAAATAATCCACTTCCTCCCCAGGGTCTTCAGTCTTGGTGTTCCATCACAGCAATAGAAACACTAAGACACGTGACACCTGAGTCCCAGCCCAGAACCCGGTGGGTGGGTTGGGTCTCACGGGGGAGGAAAGATCTTTAAGTAGCTCACGAGCGCAGAGCAGTGGACAGTCTATGGCCCCACCGTGGCAGGCCTAGTAACCTGACTGCAGACGGGCTGAGGGTGACTTGATAGAGTCCAATTCGGACAGTTGCTTCTGGCCTTCTGTTTGCTGGGAGGAGAAGATAGACCCACTCTCCCATGTTAATATGAGGAGGGCACTGAAAAGGCTTGTTTGTCCTGGAGCTCCAGGTGCCCTTGATTGTCGCTGTGATAAACCATATTGAAACAGATATTGAGTGTCTGGATCTAGTCAAGAGTCCATATGGAAGGAGGCTGCAAACGCTGAGGATCAAAGAAGTGTAACTGGGAGAAGAATGGGCAGAACTAGCATGTGGAGTGTGAACTTAGTAAGATGGCTTACGTGTTAGGTAATCTGAGAGGGACGTTGAAGGGGCCACTTAGGAGGGAGAGAGAGGTCAGTGCAGAAGAAGATGGATGGAGCATAAAGGGGAATATCAAGATGCAATTATGTGATGGGGAAAATTGAAAATGAGGTCTCAGCAAAGAAAGAGGAAGGTAAACACTGGAGCAGGATGAAGTGAGACATAATGTCAATATGAATGACTGGAAATGCCACAGGCCGACATACTATTAATTATTTACCTAAAACCATAACAAATGTAATTTTGTGTGTAATTATACAGAGAGGGTTTAAGTGAGCTTTTTCCATGTGGATTGATGGCATTGCCTCCGAAAGACTACCTAACAAAATCCCACTTCACTTCGAGACAAGAGAAGCTGTTGGTATAATGTTCTTGTGGAATACATACAATTTACCCTTGTTCATTCGAATGCTGATTTCTCTCCCCACTATATGGTTGCAATCCAGACATTGCATTGTGATGCTTACTTTAAGCATCACCTGTCTCAAGTTTGTGTAAACATGCAGCCATTTGTTTTCTGTATTGCCAATAAAAACAACCAGGCCAATGCTGAACAATGGCGAGAATAGGGTGGGACATCCTGGCCCAGAGGGACGGAGAAAGAGAACGGGAGGAGAGTTCCAAGAGGAGAGGACCAGGAAACATTAGGAGAAATGAACTGAATCTAAGATATGACTAAAAAGCAAGTATAGTGTGGTAAATCTGAATGGGAGGAAGCTATTCAGGCTTGGAGGTTTAGGATGGAGTAATGATTGCCCAGCATTGTGCTCTAGGTTAATTAAATAAATCCTAGTCTCTGTGTGGTGATTTGGGTATATACAGCTAGTTTAGGAATAACTGCTGTTTAACTAAAAGATGAATCAATATTAAATATTAATAATCATCAACAAGAAGCCTTCATTGCGTTCTTGGTCAGGGCTCTCTAAGACACTCCCAAGGCAGATAGCTTATTGCTGTTATCCTTGTTATCCCAGAGCTGGAATGTAAGTCCCCATTGTTAGGATTTTGGAACCAAACCTGCTTCAGAGTTGCCTAGTAACCTATGTGCCATCCTGTCGCCCACCAGGTGGCCACACCTGGAAGGCATGGTTAC